TATCTATCTATCTATCTATCTATCTATCTATCTATCTATCTATCTATGTTTTCTTAAGTTTTCGCGGGTATTTATATGTATGATATTCAGCTTTGTTCAGGTATTTTCCCACATCATTATAGTTGTGCTTTTAAAGTTGTAGCAACGTTTCGACAGAATCTTATCTGCCATCATCAGGCTTCTGTATAGTGTTCGTCTGTGAGTCAGACTTTCACAGCCGTTTCTGTTTTAAATTTGGTGCTAGCCTACTGCTGTGCCAGAATGTTTTTTTCTTCATCCTGGTTGGTTGGGAGTCTTGGTCTGTGTTTATTGGTCTTGGAGTTTGCTGTGTGCTGCTTGATGGGTGTTTCTAATATCTTCTGTCTGTTTTGTAGCTTTTTTTGTCTTGATTGGCTGGCAACATTGATTTTCCTGTATTGGAGGCTTTTAGTGCAGCTTGGCTCCGAGTAAACGGGCGGGGTATCATTTATTAGGAAGCTGGGTTTTATCTGGGTGCCTGGTTGGGGTGTGTTTGAGCTGGAGGTATTGAGGGGGGGTCTGTTTGTACCCAGGTGTTTGCCTGGCTTGTGGTGTGGAGATATTTTTTGTTTGAGAGTGCAGGCTTCCAGATAATTGACAGTCTGGTGGAGTCATCTCTTCTATTCATGCTTTCAAGTCTTTTTTCAATCTCTATGGCTTCTCTGATAATTCTGTAGCTGGGGTTTTCTATAGTGGCTAGGGTGCCACCCACAAATCCAAACTATGGTTAAGATACATTGATGACACATTTGTGATTTGGCCCCATGGAAAAGAAAACCTAAACAATTTCCTAACACACCTAAACAGCACACACCCCAAAATCAAAGTCACCATGGAAACAGAAACAAACAAACAACTACTATTCCTAGATGTACTAATGTACAAAAAAACAGATGGCACACTAGGACACACCATATACCAGAAGAAAACACACACCAACCACTACCTCAATACCCAATCCCACCACCACCCAACACGGATAAACTCCGTGGCCAAAACACTAATTGCTAGAACCAAACGCCTGGCAGACAAGACACACATAAAGACTGAACTATGCACCCTGACAGAAGTACTGACAGCCAACGGCTTCTACAAAAGCAAAATCACTGGCTTGATCCACAAAAACACACTGAGACATAATGGAGACCTAGAAGATGAGCAGACCTATGGAACAGCTGTCTTGCCCTACATAAGAGGTACTACAGACAAAATCAGTAAGATACTACACAGGCATCACATCAAGACTGCCTTCAAAACAGATAGAGAAATAGCAGCCATCCTAAGAAACCCCAAAGATAAAATTGACCTGGAAAACCAAGGCATATATGAAGTCCCCTGTGCATCATGCCCTGCCACATACATTGGACCAATAGACCAATAGAAAAATAAGTACCTGCCTGGATGAACACAAAAATGCAGTAAAAAAGCTGGAACACACTTCCTCACTAGTCCAACACATGAAAGCCACAGGTCATAGCATCAACTTCAATGGCACCAAAACCCTAGCCACTATAGAAAACCCCAGCTACAGAATTATCAGAGAAGCCATAGAGATTGAAGACCTGAAAGCATGAATAGAAGAGATGATTCCACCAGACTGTCAATTATCTGGAAGCCTGCACTCTCAAACAAAATAATCTCCACACCACAAGCCAGGCAAACACCTGGGTACAAACAGATCCCCCCTGATACCTCCAGCTCAAACACACCCCAACCAGGCACCCAGATGAAACCCAGCTTCCTAATAAATGATAGTCACCCATTTACTCGGAGCCAAGCTGCACTAAAAGCCTCCAATACAGGAAAATCAATGTTGCCAGCCAATCAAGACAAAAAAAGCTACAAAACAGACAGAAGATATTAGAAACACCAATCAAGCAGAATACAGCGAACTCCAAGACCAATAAACACAGACCAAGACTCCCAACCAATCAGGATGAAGAAAAAACCATTCTGGCACAGCAGTAGGATAGCACCAAGTTTTAAACAGAAACGGCTGTGAAAGTCTGACTCACAGATGAATACTATACGGAAGCCTGATGATGGCAGATGAGATTCTGCTGAAACTTCGCTACAACTTTAAAAGCACAACTACAATGACGTGAGAAAATACCCAAACAAAGCTGAATGCCATATAGATAGATAGATAGATAGATAGATAGATAGATAGATAGATAGATA